GGATTCACCAGGGACAGAGTGGGAAGCAGAACAGGCGACGAAGTCCACTGCTGAGGGGAGCAGTTAGCAGGCGATGGGGAGGTGGCTTAAGCTTCTTATTGCAGTGCTTTAACCCGCTCTGCCACCAGGGAGGGCCGCAGTTGTCTTTTAACCTTGTTTATTTCAAGCTCATAAGCTTTGCACTGTAGGTAGAGTTCTTAAAGTTGCACTTACATTTGTTATTAAGAAACTTGTGAGTCTTTACTTTTCCATCCTCATAAGACGCAGACTTAATTACGAAGGAATTGTTTTTCCTCAGCCTTGGGTGGTTTGATACTCTGTTTAAGAACGTGTGACAGGCAGGAAGTGTGGACGCCCTAACTCACACTTGGGGCTGGATTTGACAGTACACACGTACCTGGGCTAAGCCTCTTCTAAGTACATTGAGGATAGTTGTTACCAGGATTCGAGGAGAACTGACCCATAGGGACGCCACAAGTATTAACTACCTTAGTCTTGATAAAAGCTTAGTCTGGGAGTACATTTTATGGAATTCCAGTGTACGCTGTGTTGTTCACCAGATTTTGCTTTCACCAGCAGCAAAGCCCAAACTCTGCCAAGGGCTTCGGCCATTTTGTAAACTTGGAGAAAAAAACACTACCCAACTGCTGAAATGGCAGCGCTTGGGCAGAGAACTTCAGCGCAGTGTGTGCTGCCCTCTAGCGGCCATGGGAAGAATGGTGGGTACCAGTGGAGCGATACTAACCTGCTTGCTTTCAAAGCCCATCATATGAAATACTTCATCACTCCATTTTCGTCTGCTTCAAAAGGATTTTAAAGAGACACCAGGTCATTGTTATCCATAAATGAAGAGGTGTGTTAAACTTTTTTTCATGAGCGTTTTCTGTTGGAACCCGTCTTTTGGCTTTCATCTCTTTTATTTTTGAGTATTATAGTAATTGTTTAATCAAAAATTATAAAACTTGTTTACATCTTATATTTTAAGTAATTTTCAGAGATTGAATATTCAGATAAATTTGTTCATGAAGATTATGATGGGGGAGTAATATTCCAGAAAATCCCATACTAAATTGCTTTATTAACTATTATGCCATTAGAAATCAGCTAGTTTTATTTGTTAAGGCGAAGCTTAAAGGACTCTTTGCCCAGTAACTTGATTTGCCCTTTTATCATTTTTGTGGGCTCTCAACAGCTTCAAAATTAAATCATAATCTAGTGTTTACAGTATCTCTATCATAATTACATATTAATAGCAAATGTGCATGATGTTTCAGGAAATAATGTCCTTTTTAGAGAAAGACTGTTTCTAAGTGCCTTTACTATGGAGATATTTATAGTTTTTTAAACAAATAATTACCTTTGTATTTTAACATTTGTCTTTATCAAGATGTGCCTTTATCAAGGCTCTTAAAAAAACAAAAACACCTCCCCACCCCCAAAATACTATTTTAAGTCCATTAAATGACTTGCTTGTTCTAAAAATAATTTCAAAACATTTAGTCTTATTGTCACTCAAATAATTACTTTATGTAAGCTTGCCTGGTTGCTTATATTCCTTACCTTAGATTTGACTCGTCATCTATTATGAACCATCTTGATTATTAAAAGATTAATGCTTTTGTAATGAACAACTTTGGACACCATTCAGCTTCAGCTTCAGCCATAGAAATAGCCCTCGTATCAGTTTCCGATCATATCTGTCTCCCTCAGTCCACAGAAGGAGACTGTGAGTTTGTTGTTAATTTTATCTTGAGTTTAACTTTCATAGTTTCTGAAGTTTTTTTCAGGAGGGGCAGAATTAACAGAAGTAATTTTTTTTTTTTACAACAGTTTATTTTTACATCATTTTGTACATTTTTTTCCCCCCATCTCAATTGTTATCCCCGCGGGTTTGCCTACCTGTTTTAAGTATTAAAACAGAATACTTAAAATGTACTTAAAATAACCATAAACCACTGTTAGAGTAAATTGCATCCATGCACATTAACATGTGCTGATAGAAGTTGGCTGTGTTTTGTACCCGAAATGTCGGGTACATTGCTAAATTTCTAGGGAACCTCTCGCACCCATTGCTCACTGCTTTGTCCAAGCTGCACAATAAGACGTATACAGGGTTGTGTATGGTTTTACTGACTATACTGAATGATTTGGAAACCTCAATATTCTCAGAAATACAGAAGTATGAAGTACAGCCAAGAAACTTACTGGTTAAGAGAACAAGTTAAAAATAACATAATCAGTAGGGAGCAGGTTAAATGTAGTGTATTTATATTTGGGAGCATCAAAGGGAGCACAGTGCTCATGCTTCTGCACATACCCTGACCCCTGACATGGGTGCTGGACTGGGATGTTTCCATCATTTTAGCAGCGACTGCTTTCAGTGCAGATGTTAAAAGGATTTCTAACTTATCTGACTGCTGTGGTTTTCTGCAGAAGACAAATGCAGATTTTTGTGGCTTTCTGATTCTTTTAAGTAGGTAGTTGAAGATACTCTCTTAGAATATTTTCTGTTTTTTGGGAGTGTATGGGCCATACTACATGGTCCTGGGACAATTTTAATTGCTGGTAATTGCCAAAATATATTCCATTATAATCTCTGGAGTTAAGAATTATTGATTGGAGTGAAAAAATTAAACCACTCATTTCAAAAAGAGTTTGAAATAGTGTGTTCTGTAAAAGTGGGTAAGCCCCCCCCCCCAATTTCCTTATCTAGTGTATATATACCTCTCATGTCTATTGGTGTGGGAGAAAGGAGGGAACAGAGTGGTGTAGATGTTTACAGTTGGGGCTTTGGAGTTAGTCTTCTAGGACAGGATGTTTGTTATTGCTAAGGGTGAGGAGAACCAGTGGAGCATGGTGGGTAACCTTTAGAGAGGGTGAGAGGATTTGCGCTTGGTATATAAGCAGAAGCTGGAGGTGAGCAATACTGGGCCGTCATACTGGGCAAGTAGGAGTAGCCTGGGCTGATTGAGAGGAGGGAGGTGGCCTGGCTTCTCCTCATTCACATGTGGGCACGCACTCAATGGCTTTCCTACATGAATATGTAACTGCTACACCCCCCCTTCCAAGAAGACCTACCCTTTCAGATACCTTACTTTCAAGGAAATTCTGTAGCTGCTGGCTGTACCTTAATATGAGCAAAAGGTAGCGGTGAAATCAGTAAATTCCATCCACCAACGTAAAGTTCTAAATCTTTACTGGTGTGTGGGGTGGGGGGGGGCATCAATACAGATGTGAAATAGTCATTTCCTTAAGTGTTGGGTGAGGTTTTTGCGTCTTTGGAGCGCTGCTTTCGTAGCTGCCATTTGATGCTCTTCTGAGGCTACAGATGATGTCGCAGACAATGGCACTGGTCTGAGTTGACCAGGGCATGGGTGCCAGGCTGCCCTTCTCATTGTGCAAGCCAGCCCTTGTTTTTCTCTTGCCTGGTCAGAGGAAAGTGACTGATGATACTCTGATGAGCTGGGCAGCTTGGCCTCCCATCTCTGAGGGGGCTGTGGTGAGTCAGTGTGGGGGCTGGCCTTGGTTGGTATGTAACACAGATAAGGTTGGTTTTCTGTTGTTGCCGATGTTTTGAGCTCTCCTGTGGCAAAATATGAAAATGGGCCTTAGGGCCAGTTTTGGGGTATAATCCCTGCCCTCTACCTCAGCCCCCACTTGCTCATGTCACTGATCAAGTTACTTAAAAAATTTCAATTTCTCCACTTTTACATGATAACGTTTAGTAGGTTTGTTTTGGGGAATAAGCAAAAGCATGCATGTAAGTACTTTAATGCCAAGCACCTAAAGAAGTCATCCTGCAGTCCATAAGTGGTTTTTCCCTTACCTCGGCTGCAGGTGGAAACATCCTTTGCTCCCATTTATTTTCATTGCTTCCTCATCTTAATGAAAAGGATCCTGGATTTTGGGTTTCCAACCTGGAGTTTCCAGTGTACTGTATATTCATTCTGTGGTCATGTTTGTGGAGGGGTGAGTGGTGGTATGACTTCATTTCAAGTTTGGGAAATGCAGTGGTGGTAAATGGGAAGCCTTTTTTCTTTAACCCATGGCCTTCATGAGATGTCCTCTAATGGGAAACTTAAGCACCTTATGTGAAGATAATGTTACTTAGGTCCTGGGGCTGCTACTTGCCTCCCTCCTAAGTGACAAGCTTGTTTTCAATCAATAGTTAGTTGCAAGCTTTTCACCTGCTTTTCTGTTGCCTGTAAGTCTCTAAAATTTCTTCATTCGTCCCAGTGAGCCTCTCAGATGCCTTTTCATGATAGAGCAAGAAGAAGGACTATTGGCTTCTCTGCAGCCGAGGTTGATAGTCTACCTTCCCACAACTTTCTGGCATTAATCTTTTGTGGTTTCCTCTGCACCTACCCACTTTCCCTTTTCCCCGAGGGCTGTTTGGAATGAAGTGAAGTTATTTTTTTCTTGTCCTAGCTGGTCTGGGACTTACTGCAGGAGATCCTAAAATCAGGGTTCTGGTTTGGGGTTAATGCTTTAACTTAGCTCACCTGTTGCTGAGGACCAGGACTGGATAATTGCACCCGTTTGCATCCTTAGTCCTTGGGTAACTACTGTGCCTTTTTTTTTTCCTTGATGAGGGCAAGGTACTAAACAAATGAAAACAAGGTTTGGTGGATTCAGAGGGATCAGATTGATCTGGTTGCAAATCCTAAGACATACTGAGAGAGTTACATGCGCTGAGGTTTAGTTTTTCTTATCTGAATGGAGCAATAAAGTTCTTTGAGTTTCTGTAAGAGTCAATCTATACAAATTGACTGGTACCTGGCATTATATACTGAGGAAATCATAGAAGCTGAAGATGTTGAGAAAGATTGTAATGATATTATTCACAAAATGAGTATGAAAGTGGATTTGAAAATGTTAATCTCGTGTTACTAAAATTACTATTTGTTGTCATTTTACTGAAAGGATTTTTTGTTTTAACATATTTATTTGGCAGATTTTAAATCTCTTTACAAATATTTAAAAAATCTTTTTTAATTAAGTCATTCAGCATCTGAAGAAGCTTCAGGTTCAGACTCTGGCAGCCAGTCGGAAAGTGAGCAGGGCAGCGATCCAGGAAGTGGACATGGCAGCGAGTCGAATAGCAGTTCTGAATCTTCAGAGAGTCAGACTGAATCTGAAAGTGAATCCGCAGGTTCCAAATCCCAGCCAGTTCTTCCAGAAGCCAAAGAGAAGCCAGCCTCTAAGAAGGAACGGATAGCTGATGTGAAGAAGGTATTACTTCTGTACAATGCAAATGTGCTGCTTGCTGGCCCAGCCGGCAGATCTTTATTTCCTATGTAAAACTCTTTAAGAGTACCGTTATGATATAATAGTCACCTTTCTAATAATGCACTCTCAGGATATAAATGTGGACTGCTTTCTATTCTGTTAATTGATGTAGAATATGGCTTCACATGAAACATCATAGTATAGGACAGAAAGACAAGTTTTTATAATTTGGGTTTTAAATATTTTTCAAAAAAGGTGGTTATTGCATTTTTATGCAATACTGAAAAGTACTGAATATTGAATAATAATAGCATCATTGATGTATGATATTGAAATAAATACTCCCCCAGAAAAACATCTGCCCCTTGTAGTTCTTTACTTAATAGCAAAGACTCTCCTGGCAAAAAGGTAAAAATTGAATTGTGTAGCCATTTTTCATGGATGCTTGAACTTTGGAATACACATTCTTTTTTGGTGAAAAATTAATGATTTGGTGTGATTCATAAGAATGTCAAATCATAAGAATGCAGCTGATCTTTTAAAATTTCATTTTGAGAGAATTTTATTTGAATCATGGTACCAAAGAATACTGCTTTTAGGAATATAAAAATAAAATGTAGTGAAATTGAAGGTCTTATATTAAATCAGTTTTTATTCTAAAATACAAATCTGTATCGACATACTGATTTTCATAGTATTATAAATGATTTTAAATTGTCTGCAAGTTATCTTCAGCAACTCTGAAATTAGAGAAAACAAAACAGAGGTTCATTTGACTCTTGAGACAGAATTGGATTATCTGTGCCATTTGAGTTCTTCTGTTCCAAGTGTAGTCATAGTTTCCTGGAAGTGATCCTCAGGAACTAGTGGGCATTTGGAGGTTAGAGATAATTCCTTAATGATAAGGAGATAAAAGTTGGCTTTGCCACTTGACTCATCACCAGAGCCATAACCTTCAGACCCTCAGGCGTTGTTCCTGATTGCCCGTTCTGTGTGTGGTGGACCTTTCACAGGAGACCAGTCAAGTGATGACCTCTTCCCACAGCCCCTGCATGTGGAAATGCCATCAACACATCTTGCTCTCCGAGGTCATCACACTCAGAAACTACCCCCAGCCACCTGGCAGGCAGCCTAGCCCAGCTGTCCTCAGAGTCAGCTGAGGTTCCCTCTGTGTGTCTGGACCAGGTACTCTTTCCAGAAGTCCACAGCACATTTTTGAATGCAGTATAACAAAAAAAAGTCTGGGTATAACTTTCATTTTTACAGTGCAGAGTTTTCTACTTGTAGGGATTGAAGGAAACCATAGTAATTATGACTTGCATAGCAAGTTCAGAACTATTGAACTGATGTTGTCTGAGATTCACAAATATTCACTCTAAGACCTGTAGCACTTGAAGAAGTATTGCTACGATTCAATTTTTTGATAAAAATACAACACTAGGCAGGCATACAAAAATATAAAGGTGATTAGTTCCAAAAAGTTAATTTGTAAACATTTCTAATAATTAATTTTAAATTGTAATATTAGCATACCCCATCAGTTATTGCCACTGCAGTGTATTCACCATCAAACTCACCCATGGGCTACCACATAATCCAGTGTGCTCCTTTCCTCATTTTCCTTACCAAATAGTTAATTAAGGGTTTCCCTGGGGGCACAAAGGGTTAAGTCTCAGCTACTGCAGCATGAGTTGGATCCTGGGCCGGGGGGCTGATCCACATGGCACAGCAGACCTCTCCTGCCATCCTCTGTTTCCCTCAGCAGTGTATTTCAGTCAGTCCACCTGTTCTGCTCCCCACTCTGTCTCTGTGGAATCCTACCTCCCTCACCCCGCCCCCCCAAAACCTCTGGCCTACATCCCAGCTTTTATATGCATATATAAGTCTTAGAAAAAAAAGTTAATTGTAGATGGACCTACTTGCCTGTTAGAATGATTGGATCGTGGTTTTAATAATTATACTAAAATAGGAACTCTAAGGGAAGTTTTTTATTTTCTGTATACATATCCCTTTTACTTGGTAGTTTTTCATAGGGGAATTAGATATCATTAGTTCTCAATAGTACAAAAGAACACAAAATGACTTTAGGATATAAATACTGGAATGGAAGTGTCATAAAGTCTTAGCACTTGACCTGAATGCCTGTTTAGTATTTTAAAACAATAAAACCAATTGCTGTAGTGACCTAAAAATAATTTAGGCACCCCAATTAATAAAAGCTCCATAAATAATTGTTTGAATGAAGTAATTACGTCACGTTAGCAGAAATCCAGGTGGGTGAAGTGGAAGGTTGACACACCAGGTGAGTGAGTGGGGGGTTGATGGGACTAGAGGAAAGCTCTGTCTCCTTCCTTTCTTCCCCAGATGTGTTCAGCACGCTCTGCATTCATTGCTTCTTTGTCGATATTTCCTACCACTTGCTTATTCTAACTCTTCAAGTTGGGCTTTTTGTCTTTGACTCAGATTACGCTAAGGCCATTATGGATTTTATACCTTTTTAAACTGAGGATACAAGATGACATGTTGCTTTGGATTCCAGTTCTAAAATGCCTATTCCTGGAACATCTTCCTTGTTTTCTTTTGAGGCCTTGTTTTTCTTCAGCTTGCCTGGCTTTTTTGTTTGTTTGTTTAAGGCACTGTTGATAATGTCCTCTTTTGGCTTAGTGGTTTGTACTTTTCTGGGTTGTCTTCCATCAGTGTTGTCTTGGGGTCTACTTCCCATACATTTCATTGGTCTCAGCCTGTGGCTTCTCCTCTTGCCTCACCTTCCAGATATTTTCATGACGCTAGCTGTCAACCTGTGTTTTGATGACAAACCCACATTTCTAATCTTGGCTGCCAAGCATCTCTTCTACATGTTTAACTCCTGTTAAACATCTTCACTTGAGTGTCCCATGGTCTGTTCTAGTTCATTTTTGCCTGCATGTGATGGATTTCATGAAAAGGGCAGACATTACACTTTGCTTTCTGTGGGAAGGAAAGTGAGGCTGGAGGTCAGTCTGATCATTAGGGCTGAGGAAGGAGGGACCTCTGGCAGTTTTTTCTCTGCATTGGTCGGTGTGAGTTTTTATAACATGTTACTCATTATTATGGGGAAAAATTCACCTCATCCCTCCTTTAGATTTTGGTTTCTTTTAAAACTCACCTGTGAGGATTATTTCCAAATCAGGTATTGAAAGAGAAGGGCTAAGTACTGCTAGAGGATACATGGGCATGCCAGGAAAGGGGCAGCCGTGGTGTTCACGTCAGGAACACTTGCTCTGCACGGCCAGAGGAACGCTAAAGAGATTCTTCCTGCACAAGACTGGGTGGAGCCCTGCTTGCTTTTTGAGTTTTTTTCAGATGGGTCAGCGTGCAATCAAAACCCCAAACTGAAGGCACTAGTGACTTTACCCAGCAGTTCTCCTACCTTGCTGTTCAACTTTAATTTATAGCTTAAAGATAAGTGCCATGCCATATTGTTTAATAGCTGTTTAGTAATGAAGAGATATTGTTAAATTTTGTGTTTTGGGATAATTATTTTTTATTAAAGATGGTACTTGATTATCTGACAAACAAAACTAAACAACCCACTTGGTACTTACTTCAGTTCTGTTAAGCTAGAACACTTGTTCCAATAATAACAATAGTAAATGGGGGTTGAGAAAAAGATTCATACATGGTCTGTTAATTTTACAGATGTGGGAAGAATATCCTGATGTTTATGGGGTTAGGCGGTCAAACCGAAGCAGACAAGAACCATCACGATTTAATATTAAGGAGGAGGTAAGAAAAAAAGTGTTTTAAGGGGCAACATTCAAACTCCTTATCTTACCTCATCCTTCCCAACTCTGGTATGTATCACCATTAAAAAGACTAGACTTCAGACATGATGTGAACCTGCTCACCCAGTCCTGCAAGAGAAAGCACACAGGGCTTTAAAGAAAGAACCCGACAGACAGACCACGTGATAGTGACTGTGTAGGCACTGTAAGAGTATTACATAGAACTGACCTCAAATTTTTGTGTGTGTGTTTTGTTTTGTTTTTTAATAATGAAATTGGCTATACCATGAGCTTTATGTTTTTTGATTCTTTAGTTCTAAATCTAGATTTTGTTACAATAACTTGCTTGGTGGACAAATGTTAACAATTTCATGAGCCAGGAAGGAGTTTGCTTAATATATTTTTATTTTATTTTATCTGATTTCTTTAAATTTGGTTTCCTACCTCACTTTTAGTGTGCAGAATACATGTTTCACACATTATTTTTCTTTGATCTAGTTGGGAGAGATTGATGATTGTTATAATTAGTATCACATAGTGAGTTTTCTTGTCTCTATAACCTTAGACTTCTGTTACTTTTCTTGGTTTGTGTGATATTTTGTGGATTCTTACCTCTATATTAGGGTTATAGGTTGCATTCTGAAGAGATGTTCTTTCCTCTCTCAGTGAGATGCGACCTTTCTGCATTCTTAGAACTGTGCTGGTCTTAGCTATAGAACATCCTTGTGATGATAGTTAAACATAGATAGTCAAAGGCTAGTAAATTAGGGGTGGGGGAAATGTGCTTTAAGAATTAAATTGTCCTTAATATTCACATTGCATTTATAGTGTTTTGAGTGGCCTCTGAGCTCATTTGCCTAACCTTTCCCTTTCCATAGTGTCTAGGACTTGGTTACCAAGCCATGTTTGTAATAGGCAGTCAAACAGCAGCTGTGCACGTCTTTTCCTCTTTTGTATATAAAGTAAGACATTCTCTGTGGGGCATAGGACTTATCATTTGCCAATTTGCTTAATTTGGGGGAGGAAAAGAGCTGCTCATTTGTCTGACTATAAACTTTCTCTGGCCTCGTGCTGTTGCACAGCATGCTGGCCCATCCCTTAGTTTAACATGCTCTTAGATGACGTGGATGGACAGTCACCACCTTCAGTGGCATGCCAGCTAAATGCTGTGGCATTATATTTGATTTTGTAGATGTGCGTTATCCAATGTGGTCGCCACCAGACATGTGACTTTTAAAACTTATATTAATTCAAAGTAAGTAAATGGAAAACTTCTCTCCGTTAATGATATCAGCATGGCCCAGGTGCTCAACACTTGTAGGACTGATGGCTGCTATATTGGGCTTTGTAGACACAGAACATTTCTGTGGTCACAAAGTTTATTTGGACTGTGCTCTATGAAAGTCATGCTGAGAGAAACCGTTCTGTTGCATTCGAGATACATTCCCATTTATTTCAAAGAAGAATGAGCCCCACCAAATAGGTTTCTTAGGTTTCTTTCTTTGTAGAACCTCATGCTGAATAATGCTGTACTGACTAGGTTGTTGAACCAGGAGGCAGTGTTGTCCCTAAAAACTGTGAATTAAAGTCTGTAATCATTTCTCCCCTCATACACTGAAGGCAAGTAGCGGGTCTGAGAGTGGGAGCCCAAAAAGAAGAGGCCAGAGGCAGCTGAAAAAACAGTAAGTCTTTCATGGGGGAAATGATATAACCTAGTAGTTTGGACTATGCCAGCATTTCTGGGACTGCCTTCATCGTGTTTTTTGTATAGTCCAGTGCTAGTATCTGCACCTTATTTTTCGGGGTACTGTTCACCTGGACAACATGGCATCCAGGGTGCCTGTTTGCACTGGTGGAGGTGCTTCATGTGTGCCAGGCTAGTTCCTGGGGCAGACTCCAACTCCCCTGTGGGCCCTCCATGCCCACTGAACTTTTTAAAAATGCACATGAGTAACCAATGTGTAGGCATTTGGCATTCTGTTCTAGTTAAAAGAGAGAAATCAGATTCTCAGTTTGTCATTTGTGCTGGCATGGCAAAATTATAGGTTGTATGCCATTGTAGTGTGAAATTTCACAGTGTTGATTCCATATAATTTTAATATCATAGTTTGTAAGCCAGAAAATTTTAATTATTGGGCTTATCACTTATAATGTAGATCATATGCTCATTTTTTAAGAAATCCACTTATGGTAAAAAAAATAACTTTTTTTTGCCTCTTGAAATTCCTAAAAAGTTTTTCTTGGAAGGGGTGCAGTCCTTTTTATGTCTTGAGTTCTGAAGCATATCTCTTCAGATATTTATTAAAAACTTTGCACATACAATCTGGGAATTCTCAGGGCAAATAGTTGCCCATGGCCCTGATTAAGAACTCTAGCTACATAATCTGTGTTCTAAAATATGAGTAACCTAATATGGCAAAATAATTTGAGTTTTTCAAACTCATTTCCAAAATAGAGTAATATTTAATCTGCTGACGTGGCAGTGATATTTGAAGCTATGGTAGGAAAATTGAGTATCTGCTATTATCCTGCTGAGATCACAGACAGGATAATTGGAGCTGGAGAAATGCTGGATGTAAGCAAGCCTGTGCTTCTTGGCATCTTAGAAGGCGATATTTTACCCAGCCCCTTGGCCTGCTGAGAGATTCTTCTTAGCTCATTATTCTGTGACCTCTTGAGGGCCTTTGGAAGCCCATACCTGTGCTTTCTCCTCCACCATCTGGCCAAATTCTACTGGCCTCTTAACTGGGTCTAAATGGTACCCTATTTGAATACCTCAACTTCTGCTTTAATGGGTGCACATCTAGATATGCAGAAATCATTTTGTAACACATCAGGCTTAGGCTCTTGACAGGCTCCTACATGATTTCTCTCTCCTATCTCCCCTAAGAGCTCTCTGAACTTGGCAACTCAGAGACTTTTCTGGGCCTTTCTTTCCCCTGCATATACCCTTTTAGTAGGTTGGGGTGTATCTGTTTCAGTGTCACTTCCCTTTGTTAGATCCTTGCCCTCGTGCTTGTGTGTTTGGGTACAGGGCTCACCTCACTTCCCACCAGTCTTTCGTCTAGGCAGTTGTGGCTACTGTGCTATGTGGGGAGCGCCTCTTCCCCTGGGTCAGTTGAAGGAGTAGGATTAACTAGAGGAGGCCCTGTCTGCTGAGACTGATGCAAGGCATGACTAGGGGCTCTTGGTGTGTTTGTCCACAGGCATTTAGGAGTTGAGAAAGACTCATTCCAAAGGGAGTGAAATGCTTTTTTGAAACCCTGCAGTGTACCATAGATTTTTAGGGATTCTATAAAGGAACTATTAAAAATTTTTTTTTTTGAGTGGGGTAATTAATTTCTAATTTAAGAACATTACAAGCATAGAAGTAGTATAAATGCCTTGGTACTTTTTCCATATATACCACTGGTCATCAGTTTTGCTTTGTTTGCTTTAGCATTGCATATATATATATTTTTTTATTAAAAAGTTTATTTTAACTTTTTAATAAAAAAAATTAAAAAAAAAGTTTATTTTTACATCATTTTGCACATTTTTTTTTCATCTCAATTGTAATCCCCACGGG